ATAGTAAGTAATTCAATCCACAGGGCAAACTTAGGAGGATGGTGCTGGGATTCTTCATATTTTGTGGTTGAGGAAATCGTGGGACAGAGAGGTGAGTCACTTGCACAAAGAGGTAAGGAGGGTCAAGATTCAAACCCAGACCATCAGGGCCCATCTTCAAGCTGTTAACCACTACACCAGAAGAAAATGGAGCATAGATTTCTTGCTTTCAGACTTCTCCAGTGAGTTGGTTCAGTGTTTCCAGGGCTAACACCAATTTTGTCTCTGTTTATAGTCGACTCAAGTGTTTGTTTGTTTGTTTTTCAAAGTACTTTATAAAAAGCATTACAACTCCTAGCAAATGCAGAGTCGTATGATCCTGCTCAAGTATTTTATTGACATCTTTCCCTTTTTTAGGCAAAGTCAAGTGGCCCCTTCTCATCATTCACTGCCTTCACCCTCCCTCTGGCAACTTTTCATGAGTTTTTCCATCAACATGCAAAGCCTGATTTATGTTTTGAGAGCCACACCCTTTTCAACAACACACACACAGATGCCATACATAAATGAAAGGTGACCTTGACCCATGAAAAGGATTTTGATGAATCGCGGGAAGTAATATACTGTGCAGGGAAAAGAGTCTTCTGATCTTTTTTGTTGTGGTGGTCCAATATAAATCACTTCCCATGAAGAGCAATCTGAGTCTAATGAGGTTCGGTAACTGTAGACTACAAAGACCCCCAAGGATGAGAGAATAATCCCACTTGTGCTGGTCTGTGATTTACTCCTGCTAGGGGGGCTGTGCATACTGGGCAGACAGGAGGAGCCTGAAGGTTCTTGGAAGAAATGACTAAAGGTATTTAGATTAGTCAATGACTATTTCTCAGTTATAGAACATGAGCTTGGAGTCTCTATAGCAATCTTTTCAAACTATGTATTGGGACAACTCAGCGGACTCTGAGATTAATATTGAAAGACATAGAAAAATAAAAAGGTGAAGAAGAGAAAACATGAGAATGCATGACACAGAGTGAAGACAGTGTTTTGTGAAAATTCCCTGTTATGTATACACAGAATATGTATACTAAGTTGCAATGTAAAATGATATCTTTTACTATGTATTCCATTGAAAAAAAGTTTATAAAACACTGCTCTATAGAATAAAATCAACCACAGGCATTTTCTCTACCTTTTGAGAACTTAAACTGCAAGCCAAAAATGACAACTCTTCTGGTTGTAAAAATATTAGGGGAATTTATACCGCTGATTCTACAGGGAGTAGTAAGAAGGATCAATTGAAATAAGAGTAAGTGATCTACTCTTCTTGTTAGTGACAGTGCAGTTCTGAGGTGAGGTAAAGAATTCTGAAGAGGGGGTGCCTGGGTGACTCAGTCGTTTAGCGTCTGCCTTCGGCTCGGGTCATGGTCCCCAGGGCCCGGGATCGAACCCCGCATCAGGCTCCCTGCTCAGCAGGAAGCCTGCTTCTCCCTCTCCCACTCCCCCTGCTTGTGCTCTCTCTCTTGCTGTGTCTCTCTCTGTCAAATAAATAAATAAAATCTAAAAAAAAAAAAAATGAATTCTGAAGAGAGAAGTCAGAGTCTAAGGAGATGTGAAGCCATTTGGTTGTTCCAACATCACGAGCTGGGAGAAGAAGACCCATGAAGCAATGCGTTGATGAAAGTAAATCGTGAAAATGTTCTCCTGGTAGGAGTGAAGGAACAGATATACAGGAGAGAGCAGGGTGAGGAGAAGGAACTAGAGATAGCAAACTAGATACCTGTTGGTCAAAACTGAACCATGGTTGTGTTGGTTTTGACTGGTCTGGCATTTACAGAATTAAGACATTCCCATAAAACTTGGGATTTTCATTTTCTCTAGAAAAATCATACCTGGCCCCTCTGAGTCTGAACTCACACATGACAATAATAGGCTGGAGCCAACAAGCACTGATTCCCTCCTGGGACAGCCATGAGCACATTTGGCTCTTTAAATTAAAATTAAGCTCAGTCCCTCAGTTACAGTAGGCGCATTCCAAACGTTCAATAGCTACATGTAGCTAGTGTCCACCATATTGGACAGTACAGGTAAAGACCATTTTCATCATAAGAAAGTTCCACTGGTTAGCATTGCTTTTAGAGCCTCTGTCTCACTAGTCACTGTTCTCTTGCCCAGGGCCAGCCCCAACCCTTTTTCTTACCTGTCTCACTCTCTAGACCTTTCTCTTTGCAACTCCCATAATACAATGCTTATGTTAGGTTAGCTGAGAAGCTCTGTGACTTAATCTTGGGAATCGTAACCTATCTCAATTGACCACAGACTCACTGAAGTATCTTGAGTGTGCGTGTGTGTGTGTGTGTGTTCTTTGCAAAGTAAGGAGTGACATGAGAATTACAGAGACTGTATATGTGTAAACGGTGTCTTACAAAGTTATCAGAATAGAAGTAAAATGGGTTTCAGTTACAGTTCTTCACTACAGGGGAAAACTAGAGAAAAATACACCTCATTTCCTGTTCTCAACAACTATGGATATCCACTGGGGTGAACAGGACAGAACCAAAGGACCAAATCTGATGAGAGAAGCTAACAGTAAACCAATGGAGTACTTTCCAGATGAAAGTTAATATCCTGTTAGCATATGTATGGTTAGGTACCTTCTGGCTTTGTTCATATATCACAGAACATACAGAAGAACTAACAGTGATTTGGTTTATTTGATCAATGTGGGAAGCCATTTGAGACAAATCAGATTTGAGAAAATCATTTGGCTTGAATTGTCTGACACTTCTAAATTAATCAGATAAGCATAAATATCATCTGTGCAAGCGCAGTCATTAAATACTCATCTTTGAGCTCAGTAAAACATCCTATGTGTGCATGCGTGTGTGTGCACACGCACGCACCCTTTTAATTTCCAAGAGCATAACAGGGTTCCTACGAACCTAAGACGGAAGCAGAGTGCTCTTAGAGTTCTTACAAGTTAATGAATTTGGGATCCATGTTGTATTTTAGTGAATTTTAACTGTTGTTTCTCCTGTCTTGGTTAACTTGCCTTGCCATAAACTCTCTTGCTGTAGAAATACGTGGAAAATATAATTCTTTTGGCAGTGAGAAAATTTTGTTTTTCAACCTGCATTTGTTCACTGTCGTCACTACCTATATGTTTCCAGGTTCACATATGAAAATAATTATTCCTCACTTCAGGAAGCCTGTTTTTTATTTTTTTTTATTTTATTTTTTTTTAAAGATTTTATTTATTTATTTGAGAGAGCGAGAATGAGAGAGAATACATGAGGGGGGGAGGGTCAGAGGGAGAAGGAGACTCCCCACCGAGCAGGGAGCCCGATGCGGGACTCGATCCCGGGACTCCAGGATCATGACCTGAGCCGAAGGCAGTCGCTTAACCAACTGAGCCACCCAGGCGCCCCAAAGATTTTATTTATTTATTTGACAGAGAAAGACACAGCGAGAGAGGGAACACAAACGGGGAGTGGGAGAGGGAGAAGCAGACTCCCCGCCGAGCAGGGAGCCCGATGCGGGACTCGATCCCGGGACTCCAGGATTGTGACCTGAGCCGAAGGCAGTCGCTTAACCGACTGAGCCACCCAGGCGCCCCCCCAGTGTACTCTTTAAAAAAAAAAAAATTATTTATTTGAGAGGGAGAAAGAGAGCATGAGCAGGGGGAGAGGTAGATGGAGAGGGAAAGGCAGACTTCCCCTCTGAGCAGGGAGCCCGATGCGGGACTCGATCCCGGGACTCCAGGATCATGACCCGAGCCGAAGGCAGCCGCCCAACCGACTGAGCCACCCAGGCGCCCTGGGAAGCCTGTTTTTTAAAAGTAAGTGTGGCTTCAAAGGACCCAGCCCCCTCCGCAGGGTCAGCCCACCCCAGGAGATAGCTGGACAGGAGCCCTGACCTGGGGGCGATCTGAACTTTCCTGCGCTATTACCTCTTGGGCTGGGGTCTTGGGAATAGCGGCTGGGTCCCTCCCCCCGCCAACAGGGGACCTCTACACGTCTGTACCTAAGAGTTGAGAATAGACTCTCAAACGGGGAAGCAAAGTTCCTCGAGACAGCTCTCTCCCGCTTTCCCAGGGTCAAGGCCAAATGCTCTGATCCCAGGGCTTTTCCAGGCACAGGAGAAAGGGCCCAGCCCAGGGTCAAGGCAGCTGCCCTCTTAGGCAAGTCTTTGACCATCTATGAGGGGCTGTTTGCTCAGGGGTATGAAGGATTTCAAATGGATCAGCCTCCCTTTTGGTAAGTATCAAAATCCCATGTCCTCCTTCTTGGATCTACATCAGTCACTGCAAAATCGACCTCTATCCTGAAACTTCAACGGAATTAAGATCAATGTTATGCTTGCTGAATAAAACAGAAAACATTCACGTTTGTACACTTAATAGGAGCTAAGCCTCCTAAAGAGCCCCACAGCAGAGCTTCTCAAATTGTGGTGCCAATTGGCAGGTGAGGGAGGGAGAGGTACAAGCAGACTCCAGGCTGAGTGCGGAGCCGGACACGGGGCTCAGTCCCACGACCCTGAGATCACAACCTGAGCTGAAACCAAGAGTTGGGTGCTCAACCGACTGAGCCACGCAGGAGTTCTATGCTCTATCCAGAATCTTAAGAAAATTCTTGTAGGTGCTCAATACATGTTTCTTGAATGAATGAATGAATGAATGAATGAATGAATGAATGAATGAAAAAGTACACCTAATAACTTCCTTTGGCTATTCTTATAGGCCCCACTCCAGACAGAAAGTGTGGCTTGCTACAGTCCCCTCACCTCCTACCCAGGTTTCACAGCCTGGAGGGGACTCCCAGACTGGATCAGAGTGACAGGTCTGAATGGTTATTTCCTGGAGACACCTGCCAGTTGACAAAATTAAAGTGATTACTGGTTAACACAGGGTCTTAAGAAATGACACTGTAGGGGCGCCTGGGTGGCTCAGTCGGTTAGGTGTCTGCCTTCGGCTCGGGTTGTGATCCTAAGGTCCTGGGATCGAGCCCCACATCGGGGAGCCTGCTTCTCCCTCTGCCTGCCACTCCCCATCCTTGTGCTCTCTCTCTCTCTGACAAATAAATAAATAAAATCTTAAAAAAAAAAAAAAGAAATGACACTATGACCCTATATAGATGGAGATGATTTTATCTCAATAATTCATTTTTTAATAAATAAATCATATTAATGGCCCTTGTTTTCTAGCATTTATTCTGTGTCAAGTACATAATGATAGCCAGTCTCTATGAACACTATGTGCCAGGCATTTTAAATGTATTACTTCGTTTAAGCCTGACCAAAACCCAAGATGGGTACTATCATTATCTTCACGTTACAGCTAAAACTGAGCATGGATAAGTTGAGTCTTTTGCCCAAGGTCGTACAAGTAGTAAGTTGTCAAGTGGGATCACCTCTTTCTGTCTGACCCTCAAACCCATGATCCATTCCCTTCTATCCACTCTTAAATCTGCTCTGAGGAGGAGGAAGGGGTATACTCAGCCCCGGGCGGAAATGATGAGCAGTGAAGGTGAGGGAGGGGCACGGTAAAGAAATAAATATAGGGGAGGTCCCACCTTGTGTCAGGCACGTGTGACCCTCATAGGCAGGAATTATAATCTCCCTTTTATAGGGGAAGGAGGAAAGCCTCGGACAGAGACTTACCCCAGTGCACCAGGGACCTAGGAGAAGTTCAGAGGAGCAGATCCAGGCCTTCCTGGGCTCTGCTTTCACATTTGGGTCTACCCAAACATGAAGCCCTCTGCCTTATTCAGGTCTCAGGCACTTAGGGACAATACCCTGCCTAAATCTTCTCATCCCTTGCATCCTTGTCTTGACAGGAGCACCCTGCAGCAGTGTCACTGGGTTATCAATTCCACTCAGCAGAGGGACGGAAAATATTACAATTCTGAATCTGTCTTTATTCTAGAGTAAATCCTTTATTGTCTCAAGGAAAGTTGCTGTTATCCAAACATGTTCCAGAATATACAGCTTCTGTGACGCTTTCATTCATCATAAACCACAAAGGTGAGACATCTGCTGTTAGTTCCAGGGGACAAATGATATTTGATTTCCTGCTGTATCTGAAGCATTAAAGTATGGACATTTTACATCATTTCTCCCTCCCTTCTTCCTTCCCTCCCTCCTTCCTTCCCCTTCCTCACTCCCATTCTTCTTCCCTTCCTTTTTTTTTTTTTTTTTTTAAAGATCACATTAAAAGTTAGGTGTAATTTGCAGAATATTTTAACTTGGAGCTGTCTTGACCTATTGAAAGTAGTCATTATGAAATTATTGATTCAACTTTTGCATTGATAGAACTTTTGACAAGAGCTTCTGTTGAACATAATTCTGGATGCATTGATTTATTACTAGGTGGTTTGGCCCAGTATCTTAGGTAGAGTTCTGGATGTGTCCCAGAGCTGTTCCAAAAAGTTCTGTCTCAGTCATTTGTGCAGCTCTAACAGAATACCACAGACTGAGTGGCCTATAAACAATAAACATTTATTTCTCACAGCTTTGGAGGCTGGAAATCCAAGCTCAAGGACCTGGCCAATTCAGTGTCTGGTGAGGGTTCATAGACAGCCGCCTTCTTGCTGACAGAAGAGGCCAGAGAGCTCTCTGGGGTCTCATTCATAAGGGCACTAATCCCATTCACAAGGGCCTAATTCCCTCCAAAAGGCCCCCAACTTCAAATACCATCATATGAAAGATTCAGTTTCAACATATGAATTTTGGAAGGGCACAACCTTTAGTCTATAGCAAGTTCCTTCTCAATAAGGAAACTTTTCAATGTTTCCTCAGAAAGTCCAATTTTCAGGTTGGGTATCTGATCCTCCTGCTCAAATATTTCTTTGGCTACTCAGAGTGTGCCAGAGAAACAGCAGGAAAAGCAGACCACCCAGCTATGCTGTCCCTGCGACCTCATCCCCAGCCCCAGCAACACCTAAAGGACACAGAATCCGTTGGTGAGTTTTCTGTCTTAGAGGCTTACGCTGGGAGCAAGGGACCACCTGACTTTCATTAGCAGCTAGGAAGGGAGATCAAAAAGGGAAATAAATATTAATAATGTCTATTTTACAAAACATTCACGCCCAGTTCACAGGAATACTCATCAAAGCATGCAAAAGATCATAGCACATCATGTCTGAGGAACATATGTGTTAGAATAGACCTGATTTCCATAATTCTAACATGCTTTAGGGACAATACCCTGCCTAAATCTTCTCATCCCTGCATGAATGCAGATGAAATGCAACTATGAAATTGAAAGCGCCACTTTACATGTGAAAGTTTTAATGCCTGAAGTTTTGAAAAGAGGGAAGAAATATGGTGGAAATAGGAAAATTCTCTTGAAATTTTTTAACAAGTTGGGAGATACAGTGAGACAAAAGCAGTCAAAACTCTGCATGATCGTTGAGAGAAAAAAGGTCTTTAAAGATGGTACCATATCCCCAGCCCCTAGAACAGTGCCTACCACATAGGAGGGCCTGAATACATGCTTGCTGGATAATTTGGGTTGTTTTTTTTTTAGCTCAAATTGGAGGCGAAGGCAGGAGCGAAAGGGCAGAGCAGTCTGAGGACCACATTTCATGAGAACCAAGAAGGAAGGTCACTCAGATTGCTGAAGAGGCTATGACGCTGGGACCTCAAAGGTAAGGTGGCTATAACAGTCTCCTGGTGCTGTCATTACAAAGTCCCACAGAGTGGGTGACTTAAAAAACCAGAAATATCTTACCTCATAGTTGCAGAGGTGAGAAGTCCAGAATCAAGGTGGCAGCAGGGCCTTGCTCCCTCTGAAACATATAGTGACATGCTTCCTTGCTTCTTTAGCTTCCAGTGGATTTGCTGGCAGTCCTTGGCATCCCTCGGTTTGCAGTAGGGTAACTCCAACCTCTGTTGTCACATAGGGCTCTCCCCGTGTGTCTCTGTGTCTTCACGTGGCTTTCTTATCCACAAGAGCCAAGGGGCAGAGCAACCCAAACATCCGTGTCCATCAATGGATGAACCTCAAAATAAAACGTGGTAAGTACATACAACATAATATTATCCAGGCTTAAAAGGGGAAGAACATTCTGAAACATGTTACCATACCGGTGAACCTTGAAGACATCTTGCTAAGGAAAATAAGTCATTCGCAAAAGCACAAAGGCTGCATGATGCACCTGCGTGAGGTCTCCATAGTAGTCAGACTCACAGAGACAGAAAGTAGAAGGGTGGTTGCCAGGGGTGGGGGGAGAAAGAATGGAGAGTCAGTGTTTAATATGTGCAGAGCTTCAGTTGGGGAAGACGAGAACGTTCTCAAGATGGCTGGTGGTGATGGGGGCGCCACAGTGTGAAATGTACTTACAGCACTAGACCCTACACTTAAAAATGGTAAGCTTTACGTTACATATTTTTCAGCCATAAAAAAGAATCGAAATGAGGATTCAGGAAAGGGATCGCCATGGGCAACGAATTGGGGATTAGAAGAGACCCATGAAAGTGCTTTTAAGAGGTAAGGAAAAGCACAGCCAAACGGGAGGGCTACACAGAGCACGTGATCTCAGTTGGGAGATGAAGCACTCTCAGAGGCCTTTCTCACATGCTGACTCTCTTGACTTGCTAAGTTGAGGTGTTTCCACAGCAGGTCATTATCGCCAGAAAAATAAATAGTCTTTGGAAAGTATGCATTTCACACTACATTATGCATTTATATAGGTCCTAAACTCTCTCATTGGAAGTTGAACCACATGAATTTTAAGGTCCCTCAGATTCCGAGAGATTCTATCAGTTTAGGTAACTGGGCAAAAACTGGGTCAGTTGTGAGTGGAAAGATCCCAGGACTTACATCGAAGTTCTGGTTTGGGTCTGGACAGAGGTTTCCTCTGCCTTTAATACCCTCAAGTTTCTCTTCTGTAAAAGTGGGTTAATAATTCTCAACTTCCTGGTGATTATAGGAATGCAATGAAATATATATATAAAAGCAACATTTAACAGTTCAAGATGCAATTTATTAGACTTTATTTCAGATTATTCATAATGCACCTTAAAGGGTCAGGATATCTAGTAATAATTAGTAAGGACACTAACTTTACAGAGTACTTGTAAGGGTAAAAAATATATATGAATAGGTGTATGTCTTTATACACATACATAAGGTATATGGGACTATAGGGAATGCTTAGCTCTCTACTCAGAACTCAAATCTCCCATTAGGATGTTTAGATATTCTCACAGTTTTCTGGCTTTATCCTTCTTGTATGCCATAGATCTACAATAGCTTTTTACACTCTATGGCCCAATAATATGTTCTTGTTTTGCAAGAATAGCACAAAGAATGTTTTTCCAGAACCATTTGAGAGTGGACTGCCAACATAATGTCCCATCACCTTTGACATTTTAATGTGATTTTTCCTCTGCAAAAGGATGTGCTCCTACATAATCACAAGACAACCATAAACATCAGAAAATTAACCTTGACATATCACTACCAGCTGATCTTCAGACCCACTCTGCTTTCACCAATTATATCCATAACGTCTTTTATAGCAGAAGGATCCAATCCATGATCACATGGTACATTGCATTGTCATGTCTCTGTAGTCATCTTCAATTTAAAACAAGTCCTTAGTCTTTCTTTCACTTTCATGACCTTAATACTTTTAAACAATGGCTCATGTGCCAACTCCTGGCTGGTCACTCATTTTTGGAAATAAAATTTTATCAGAACATTATCACATACATTCATTGTCTATGGCTGTTTTTTGTACTATAACAGCAGAGCTGAGTAGTTGTGACAGAAACCATCTGGCCTGCAAAATCTAAAATATTTATTACCAGGCTTATTATAAAATATCTTTGTCAAACCTGTGCTAAACTAGAAGGCAAGAAAAAGAAATGAAAGGAATACATATTGAAAAAGAAGAGACTGATTTTAATGTATTTTATTGCTTATATAGAAAGTCCTAAGGAATCTATAAAGTAACTACTAGAATCAATAAGCAAATTTAACAAAGTTGCGGGATATAAGGCCAGTATAATAAAATCAGTTTTGTTTCTATATATTAGCAACAGACAATAGGAAATGATACTTTAAAAATATCATTAAAGTAGTATTAGAAAACATAAAATACTGAGGGGCGCCTGAGTGACTCAGTCAGTTAGGTGTCTGACTTCAGCTCAGGTCGTGATCTCAGGGTCCTGGGATGGGGCCCCATGTTGGGCTCCACACTCAGCAGGGAGTCTGCTTCTGCCTCTCCCTTTGCCCCTCCCCCTGCTCATGCTCTCTCTCTCTTTCATATAAATAAGTAAAATCTTTTAAAAAAGAAAATATAAAACACTCAGAGGGCACCTGGGTGGTACTCAGTTGGTTAGATTTCGGCTCAGGTCATGATCTCAGGGTCATGAGATCAAGCCCTGTGTTGGGCTTCATGCTCATTGGGAGTCTGTTGGAGATTCTCTCTCTCTCCCCCTCCCTCTGCCCTTCCCTCCTCAAATAAATAAATAAATCTTTAAAAAAATATTGCTGAGAGAAATTAAAGAAGATAAAATAAATAGAAATTTCATGTTGATGTTCACATACTGGAAGACTCAAAATTGATAAAATGTTAACACTCTCCAAATTGATTTTACACTTCATGTCATCCTAGTGAATATTCTAGGAAGATACTTTTTAGAAATCAACAAGCTTATTTTAAAATTCATATGAAAATGCAAAGGGTCTAGAGTAGCTAAAACTATTCTTGAAAAAGAAAGCCCAAGTGAGATGACTTACACCACATGATTTCAAGATTGTAACTACCCTACAAGATGGCCCCGAATGATCCCCACTTCCTGATATTAGTTCCCTGTGTAGTCCCTTCCCTATCAGGGTTGGTCTATGTGGCCAAAAGAATATGGGAAAAGTGATGACATTTTGCTTCCTAGATTAAGTTATAAAAAAACATTGTAAAACCCCTCTCTATATATCTCTCTCATTCTCTCTCTTTGGTCACTTATTCTGAGGAAAATGAGTCACTCTGTCATGAACAATCCTATGGAGAGTCCTGTATAGTGAGGAACTGAAACCCATGGCCAACAGTCAGCAAGAAACGGAGGCCTCTCCTCAACGGTCAACAGCGGAGGCAAGCTGTCCAGCCCTAATCTGGCCTTCAGTTGACTTCAAGCCTGGCCAATAGCTTGACTGCAACCTTATGACAGGCCCTGAGGCAGAACTACCAGTTTAGCTGTTCTCAGATCCCCAATTCTCAGAAACCGTATGAAATAATGATTTGTTGTTTTATGCTGCCAAATTTTGGGATATTTTGTTATGCAGAAATAGCTAATGAATATGGGGTGCCTGGGTGGCTCAGTTGGTTAAGTGTCCAACTCTTGATCTCGGCTCAGGTCATGATCTCAAGGTCGTGAGATCAAGCCCTGTGTTGGGCTCCATGCTGGGCATGGAGCCCACTTAAGATTCTCTCTTTCCTTCTTCCTCTGCCCCTCCCCCTGTCCCCCCTTAAAAAACAGAAATAGTTAACGAATATAAAAACTTATATTTAGCTTATAGTACTCAAGACAGTGTGGTATTGAGGTAAAGATTAACAAATAGATTAATGGAACACAATCGAATCCAGAAATAGATTCATGTGTGTAGTCAACTGATATTTGATAAAGGCACCAATATAATTCAAAGAAGGTAGGCTTTCCAGAAAGTGATAGAAGACTGCTTGCCATACCAACCTCCAAAAGTAATTCAAGATAGAACAGAGATAACATCTTGGGGTAGGCAAAGATTTCTTAGGATGATGGTTGAATGGATAAAGAGTATGTGGTATATATATCACAATGGAATATTATTTGGCCATGAGAAAGATGAACATTTTGTCTTTTGAGACAATATGAATGGATCTTGAGGGCATTGGTGAAGTTACTGAAATAAGACAAAGACACATACTGTATGATCTCATTTATATGTGGGATTTTAAAAAGTCGAATTTATAGAAACAGAGAGTAGAATGATGATTACCAGGGACTGGGGAGTGGAGGAAAATGAAGAGATGTCGGTCAAAGGATACAAACTTCCAGCTATAAGATGAACAACTTCTGGGGGTCCAATGCATAGCATGGTGATTATAGTTAACAATACTGTGTTATATACTTGAAAATTGCTAAGAGAGTAGATCTTAAATGTTCTCACCACACACACACACACACACACACACATACACAAAGGTAATTATGTGAGGTGAGGGAGGTGTTAATCCTGCAGTGGTAATTACTTTGAAACATATATGTTGTACACCTTAAACTTACCAATATTGTGTCGATTATGTTTCAATAAAGCTAGAAAAAACTCTACATATGTCCACAAAAAGATTTGTACAAGAGTAATTATAACTTTATCATAATGACAAAAACCTGGTAACAAGCCAAAAGTCCCTGAACAATTGTGGTGGATTACAGTATATTCATACAAAGGAATACTACTCAGCAATAAAAACAAACACACCACTGATATATCCAACAAAATGCATGAATCTCAAAAACATTATGTTGCATCAAAGAAGCTAGACACAAAAGGGTACCTACAGTAGATTCCATTTATATGAAGGTCGACAGGCAAAACTAAGCTATAGTGATGGAAATCAGAACAGCAATTGCCTCTAGATGAGGGGTAATTGATGGAAAGGGACTGCAGAAAAATTCCCAGGGGGGATAAAAATGTTCTATATATTCATAAGGGTGCTCACATTTGTCAAAAACTCATTTAACTGTACACTTAGAACCTGAGCATTTTATTGCATGTAAATAACCATATAAAAAATAAATGTGAAGCTTTCGACAGTGCCTGCACTTTCTAGGTCCTGGCTATTTATAGGGGAACAAATATGGTAGTTGGTTTACCCAGGTCCTGAGAGAGACCTAGAAATCCAGGAGTGGGTATGGAAGAGACTTACAGAGTTTGGAAGGAAACCGTGGCTAAGGGAGGCCCTTACATGGAAAAGAAACACAAATGAAAGAAGTTGAATATTCACTTGGCATTTGGTCTTAGGCTACCTTGG